ATCTATTTCGAAGTGATTGATTTTTGCAAATTGTCTGCTGATTTATAGCGTTAGTTGATAATTTATAGCTTTTCCTGCGATACTTGCACCATTCACGCTCAAAATCCGTACTTTGGAGTAGATGCAGAGTAAATATGATGCATCGGTCAACGTCCGGGGCAAAGCAAACCAGTTCGTCATTGTGGGGTATTGTCTTTTTATGGTGTAGCGATCGTTCTGTGTTGTAACGCACTGGGTAAATAAATGCTGTAATTGAGATTTCGGCATTATTTCTGAGTCTTACTACTTTACATTGCGGCGGTTTCTTCTCGCTGATGAATTTTGTAAGAGGAGACTCCGCTAGTACAAGTGCGTAGAAAACAAGATTACCTCACTTTTAAATGAGACACATGCTTACTTAGATGTTCATCATATATCAGCCATTTCATTACGCGGTTTTTCCATTATCTATCTGCTATCGCTTCATTTTTCTATCTGTACTACCACAAAAAGATACCCTAAAAGTTATATAAACCATAATCTACTGTAATCTTTCCATTTTGCCATTAATTTGTGGTACTCTTATAGTTTTGTTGAAAAAGCTTCTAGCTTGATATTCTGCTCACTTCTTATGAGTATTTGCAATACCTTCATCTTGTAATCAAAACTCACTTTTTCAAAACAATAGAGACATCTCTCATCACTCCAATTCTACCATTGTTCGCGCAGCAGTTTTGTCACGTGAATGTAAATTGTTCTCTAAAGAAGTTCATTACAGATGACAACCGCAAATCCACAACAGCGACAATTCACGTTGTTCCACAAGTTCAACATTGAAGTTCGACCATCCGATTTGGAACAACGAAATGACCGAACTCGACCAATGGCGTGTCCATTTGAAGAAATTGCCGAATCAGAGGAGGAGGATATGCAGGTGAGAAAGAAAGTGGTTTTTGATTGCAAGTAATTTTTGAGATTTGCTATGCGAGCTGTTCGATAAACTAAGAGTTAGAGTCTCTTCTCGGTTAATGCTTTGGGACAGCTCCAACCGTTCCTTTTCAGCTCTCAGAGCTAACTTCGCCCGACGGTCGATCACCATTTGCCGTCACTTTTGAATCTCCCTTTGCCGAACGACGCGGATCACCCCGTATCTTGAGTTCGACCTGTGCGAGGTACGCAAATGCACTATAACGCGGCATTGCACATGCTACTGTAGCCTCTCCAGACAACCGACCGTAGCCAGTCTATGTCTCGGGTTTTCGAATCCAAATTTACGATGTCGACAAGCACCAACCATCTTTGGATCATTCAGTTCGGAACGCCACGATTCTGGACATTTCTTTAGTAAGTTTTTTGTATTAGAAGAGAAAATACAAAGTACTCAAATCAAGTAAAGAAAAATTGTTTCATTTGTCAAACATTCGAACAATTTGATCTTTTTCAGCCCTTCCGCCAATTCCTGAGACAGCCTCATCGTAACGTGTTCGCAAGAGATGCATCAAAATTTATCGAGATGTATGGTCTTTCGCCCGTATACCATCTAAAATGTCAGCTGACCATAAAACGACCCAGTGAACATTATTCTCGATAAGAAAATCCTTGATCTACTTCTGACATAACGAAATGTCGAAGGTGGTCTTTGCATTGCTCTTTTTGCGTAATCGATGATGCGACGATTTTTTACCTCTGTGATCTCCATCTAGTCTCTCTTTCTAGAACAACACTTATTTATTTGTGAGATTTACGCGATCCAACTTGGATCAACATAGTTTTTATTCCCTTATATTTAGTAGATTGTTTGAGTATCTTATGTTTATCGTGATTGTATTCTACGGGTTTATAGAGCCTTGAACATTTTTGGAGCGGGTTTAGGATCAATAAGGTGTAGGCCAATGTATACGTAAATTCATCGGAAGTGTTTCATCAGCTTGCTCGAGTGCTAAATTATCATGGAAATTATTCCTCAATCGTAGAAAGGAGCACTTAAGATAGACCGCAAGTATCCAACTAAACTTTTGACTGTATCTCTGTGAGAATTTTTGCTGTGAATAAAACTAGTTTGTCTGTCTCGGAAATTGGGCATATTCATCG